TTTGATATATTACTCGTATCTATCCAAGCAATAATTGGACCAACTTTGAATCTGCTACAAAATTTTTCAAGGAAGTTTGATTTTTTTCGTCAACTTTGGGGTTGAATTTCCCCCCTTCATCCCCGAGATAAACATGTGCTTTTTTGATATATTACTCGTATCTATCCAAGCAATAATTGGACCAACTTTGAATCTGCTACAAAATTTTTCAAGGAAGTTTGGTTTTTTCGTTAAATTTGGGGTTGAATTTCCCCCCTTCAACCCCGAGATAAACATGTGCTTTTTTGATATATTACTCGTATCTATCCAAGCAATAATTGGACCAACTTTGAATCTGCTACAAAATTTTTCAAGGAAGTTTGATTTTTTTCGTCAACTTTGGGGTTGAATTTCCCCCCTTCAACCCCGAGATAAACATGTGCTTTTTGATATTTTACTCGTATCTGTCAAAGGAATAATTCGACCAGCTTTGAAACTGCTACAAAATTTTTTAAGGAAGTTTTTTTTTTCGTCAACTTTGGGGTTGAATTTCCCTTTTTCAACCCCGAGATAAACATTTGCTTTTTTGATATGTCCCTCGTATCTGTTCAAGAAATATTTCCACCAACTTTGGTGGTGCTACAAAATTTTCGATATCTGATTTCATTTACATTTTTGGGGCGGAATCTACCCCCTTCAACCCCTCCCTGGACATATGATTTTTCAGTATGTGACGTACATCACCCTCAGTATTATTTCCACCAAGTTTGATGATGTTACAGAATCTTTTAGAATAGATTTTTTGATTTATTTTATTTGTGGCACTACTTATTTGGTCGACTGTAAAAACATGATTTTCATTTCTGAATCTGTTGCTAACTTCAACGACGTTCTTGATCTGGCTGTTTTTTATCCATAACTAGCTAATGACCCGCTGCGTTGCCAGCGTGTAAATACATTTTGAAATAATACACTTCTTTTCAAATTTTGTTGCTGATATTCTATTCAATTTTTTTTTTAATCCGATATCAGAGTCGCTTGCCAGTGAGTCCAGTGACGCATTTTAAGCACTCCAGAGCTGCTCTAGAGCGCCCCGGGCTGTTTATAGGCGTTCCAGTGTATTAGAGTTTTATGCAACCGAACTTTTCTTTTCGGGATAAAAAATAGCCTATATCACTCTCCTCTATAGCCGATTCGATTGACCGGATTAGATCGATCTGGTTCAATTTAAATGAACCACACTGTGTTCGATTCAAGCTCGATCAGTGCACCCTCATCAACAAAAAAATGATCTAGATCAGAAGAAGTTCACTTAAATTGAACCCAAATCGATCTAATCTGGGTCAATCGAATTCACCTTATATAGAGATACGTGGTATTAATTCAAGATCGGTGCAGCCGTTCTTGAATTCAAAAAATAATAAAGTTACGTCGGTTGAATGCAAGCCTAAATAAATGAAATATAGCAACGTTATTTCATGCTGTCAAAAAAAGTTGGGTTATGTTGTTATGTAATGTGAATGAGTTTGTTTACAATTAAATTAATAATTAATTCAAAATTAATTTCTTTTTCCGAGATGCGTAACCTATCCACAAACCTTCCTTGGGATGGCCATAACAACCTACCAAAGTTTCATCGTAATCGGATAAGTGGTTTTGGAGCGCATATCCGGATACCCCGTGAACTTTGATTTTTATATATATATAGATTATTTCATGATTGTCTGAGCTTGTTGAAGGTATAGGCTCATATTCGGTAGCTCTGTAACATTTCATTTTTGCCATTACAAGGTTTGAGCAACTTCTACCTTACCGAGTTTAATTGTTCGATTCTTGTTTTGCTTTTGATTGGAGGAATTGATACGCATTCCTCCAATTTGGCGCCCAACGTCGGGCGATATTATTATTGCATTGCTTGAAACTATTATTAAATTTCCCAGCTTGATTTTAATTGATCATTTGTTAAATTTAAACAGTTCGCTTTCTCATTCTATTCAACAAAGAATAGAATTTACTGTCAATTAAAAAAAAGGTCTCTTCCATTCTTGATTTATCGGTCGTTTCTACAGATTTTCCCCCAAAGATAATTTTGAATTATATCATTGGTCATGCCCACGGTGATCAAAGACCATATTTGGAAATTTCTATCTTGGGATACAAAATGCGAAGCTTGCTTGATTCCGGTGCATCGCGCACAATTGTTGGGTTACCAAGCTTTGAGGTTTTAAAAAGCTTAGTCCTTCAAATGTTAAAACATAATATGAGTCGTACGGTGGCAGACGGACGAAGTTGCACCAGTACGGGCTATTTTCAAGTTCCCATCACCCTGATGCATAGAACCAAAATTATTGACATCCTGATCTTACCTGCACTATCCCATCGCTTAATCCTCGGAATAGATTTTTGGAAAGCCATGGAGTTGGTTCCGGACCTGAAACAAGATATATGGCATTTTTCCGACGAGTTTGACGCACAGGTCTGTAGTGTTCAAGATGAAACCACTCTGACATCAGAGCAGCGACTGGCTTTGGATAGTTTAGTTGAGCGAAAATTTTCCGAGATGCCTGTAGAGCTTGTACGTTGCAACGTTGCGGAACACGAAATAGAGATGTTGCCTGGTACGAAACCTATCAAGCAGAGGTACTTCCCAGTATCTCCAATGAAACAGAAGATAATGGATGACGAACTACAAGAAATGTTACGTTTAGGAGTGATTGAACCATCCAAAAGCCCTTGGTCCAGCCCGGTTTGCTTGGCTACTAAGAAAGATGGCCCCTATCGCTTTTGCATAGATTTTAGAAAGCCAAATGCCGTAACAAAAAAAAGACGCGTACCCTTTGCCATACATTTAATCAATCCTGGACCACCTTAGAGATGCTCGTTACATCAGTGTTGTGGATATAAAGTCAGCCTTTTGGCAGGTGCCTCTAACTGAAAAATGGAAAGAGTACACAGCCTTTACGGTTCCAGGACGCCCATTATACCAATTCACTCGTATGCCTTTTGGGTTGAATAACGCTCCAGCCACTTAGCAGAGAATTGTGGATAGCGTTCTTGGTTATGATTTGGAGGAGCATGTTATAGTCTACCTCGACGATATTTTTTTTTTTTTTACGGATATGCGCACTCGCAAGGAAATGTCCTATCACGCTCGAGAAGCGGCAAGTGCGCGGAAATGTCGGTGTATGTTGGTTTTGAAACGGTTCAGGTTGTAGCCTGCAGGGAAAACCGTCGCAGGGAGTTTATTCCACAGCGATGCTGTTCTCCAGAGATATGAATTCTGATATAATGAGGTTCTTGGTGCCTCTAGTTTGACAGTAAATTCATGGTTACCGTCTGTTTGACGGGTTCGCCTGGTAGGCACTACTCTCGGTGGAATCATACGTGCCAATATAATCGTCATATCCAGAAACTTCTCGGATCATCTAAGAACTCTTGCCATTGTATTGGACAGACTAAAAGATGCTGGACTTATGATCTCTAGAAAGAAATGTCATTTTTGCAAACCACAACTTGAATATCTAGGTTATCTGGTCGACGCCAAAGGATTGCGCCCGAACCCTGAAAAGGTTGAGGCGATTGTCAACATGCCTCCTCAAACGAACGTTCACGAAATTAGGAGATTTTGTGGGACAGCGTCTTGGTACAGGCGGTTTATTCCCAATTTCTCGTCCGTCATATCGCCAATAACTGACTAAAAAGAACATAATATGGAACTGGACTGAAGACTGCCGAAGATATTTTAATCTTATTAAGGAAACACTTGTTACTGCTCCCGTTTTGACCTGCCCGGATTTTAGTAGATCTTTTACCATGCGTCCAACTATGGACTCGGCGCAGTTCTCACCCAGGAGTTTGAGGATAGCGAGAAAGTCGTACGTTATCTGTCACGATCTTTAACGCGGCAAGAACAAAAGTTGAGCGACACTGAAAAAAAATGTTTGGCAGTGATATGGGGTGTGGAAAAGCTAAGACTACCTCGAAGGACAAAGGTTTACAGTTATCACTCACCACCACTCTCTATTGTATTTGGCAAACTTAAAGGATCCACAGGGACGATTAGCTCGTTGGTGTTTGCGGTTTCAGCCCTACGACTTTGAACTTATTCATAGGAAGGGCAAAGAACATGTTGTTCCCGACTTTTTATCAAGATCCGATCTTGTTGTTGACATTGATGTCATTCATGTTGATGAAGTTATCAGCAATCATTCGTCTTTCGGCCAAACCAAGGATGAATGGTACAAAAACATGATTTTAAAATTAGAAAAACAGCCTGATAAATTTCCGAATTGGCGAATAGAAAATGGGTTGATGTACAAACACATTAAGTAATCCTACCCAGAACTTAGTGATTCAGCTACCTCCTGGAAGATCGTTGTTCCCAAGGACAGACGCCTGGAAGTTTTAAATAGATGTCATGATATCCCAGCTGCCGGACATATGGGAGTTTTTAAAACGTTCTGGAAAGTTGGTGAACGTTATTTCTGGCCTAAAATGAGAGCCGACATTACTTGTTATGTGAGGAGTTGCCAAATCTGTGCTCAGAATAAGGTGGAACAAAAAGCTCCTCCAGGACTTATGGGTGATCGACCTGCCATTAAGAAACCGTGGCAAAGTATCAGCCTTGATTATATTGGACCCCTACCGAGATCGCGATCGCAAATTACCTATCTCCTTGTCTTCCTATCTTCTGTCCTGCCGCAGATGTGCAGATTAACACGGAAGTGTTTTCTCTTCCACCATACGGATACTGCGAACTCCTACGGCGCCAACTACTCTAGTTTTTTTGGGGTCGTGATAAAAAAATGTTTCGTCTAAGTTGAAAATCTTCCTGGGTTTTGTGTTAACTGTAGGTCATCAACAGTCTTGGTAAGTATATCAAAGAATCCATATACCACAAATTAATTGACTTGAGACATGCGTAGGTATTCAACACCCTGCGGTTTCTGGATTGAAAGCTTATATCTGTGGGCAAAAGATATGTACCAATTTTCACCGGGCCGTCCATTTTTGAACCTCGTTTATGAATTGTTGCTTTGCGTGTAAACTTGCACAACATCAAGTACCTCTTGCCGAGATGGTCCAAAACTCCGTCTCTCCATTGTTTTAATACATTTCACTAACTGCTTTTCATGTTCGACTGGCAAAGACAATTTTCCACCACCTCCTTTTCCAGCAGATGAAACGATACCTTTTCCTCGAGTGCCTCTAACGTAATGTTTTAGAGTAGTTTTTGGAATATTGTATAATTCTGCAGCTCCCCGTATGGTTTTCCTACCCTCCATTATATCCTGTACATCAGACTGTAACTCAGCTCTGCTGTATCGACCACCATATGCCCCTCTAGTGGTCTTTCCTTCATAAACTCGTGACATCCTATAACAAATGTCGAATAAGTAATCAAGTATAGAAACTTGTCCAGTGTCACAAGTTAACTGGATCCGCCAGGGATCTAGCTAGTGTAACTGGGTCCTCCAGTTATCTCTATTGGTAGGACCCAGTTAGGTCTCGAAAAATAAATGCTGTCTTGGTCTTGATGTTTCAAGACCAAGACAAGACTGCCTCAGTCTTGGTCTTCGTCTTGATAGTCTTGGTCTTGGTCTTGATAGTCTTGAAAAAAATGTTTACCAAATTTTAAAAATATACATAACATATAACGACAGAGTAGGTTTAGGACTTCAGAAATAAAAAATAAAACTCCCTTTCTGAAAAAAATATGCCGACGTTACGACCATACATTTGGTCTTCTTCACAGGCTATTTTAACCAGCAAGAGCGTTTCATGTCAAAAAATACCGCAAAAAGCATTCCACAATACAGAGGGACGAAAGAGGAAAAAATAAATTGCCATTTGAGCCATAAAAATAAACCTACCTTATCTACCTGAGCATTCAGGCCAGATAAAGGTTTTCGAGAACCCTTACATAATCACATAGCTCATTTGAATTTTATTGTCGTATTCACAATAATTAGATTTGGGTTAGTTTGGGTGAGATGTGGGGTTTGTGAATGCACTCAGTACATTCTCTAATTTTTTGGTATTTGTGTATTTGGTATTTGTATATTTTACGGAGAATGGACAATGTCAATAATTGAGTCGATTTGACTTTTCAAGACCAAGACCAAGACAAGAGTCTTGGGAGAGAGTGTTGGTCTTGGTCTTGGTCTCGAACGTCAAGTCTTGGTCTTGGTCTTGAGAAGATTTATTAAGTCTTGGTCTTAGACTCGGTCTTGGTCTTGCTACCAAGACCAAGACTAGTTTTGTGTCTCGCGAAGCCCTAGACCTAGTTGCTCCAAAATCAAGGATTCTCCAGGAAACTGGGTGCCCTTCATTAAAACCAAGAAATTCAAACCTTACTGAAAACCAATAAAAATGCATATACATTTCACTGAACCACTCACCTCTTAAAATAACATCTGTTTATAATCACCAAAACTAGGATTTTTATCAAATCTCGACTCGTGTTGCAAATGTCAATTCACGTAGCTGACGCCATGCGGGACGGTTTATCAATCAATGGATACCTCGTGGAGTTTGCTGGCCCTGGGTTAACTCGCTAACTCTGGGCTATAACTACCTACTCAAATCGAAAAGTGTTTATCCAAACTTTTTCAACCCAGGGCTGGTAAACTCTTGGGTTCTTTGAAGGTTTGCATTACTTAGGCAACGTTGCCGGCTTCCTTTTTTTGATTTTTTGACATTTTCTGCTCATAACCTTACTTTTTTATAGTATTTTTTGTCTCCATAACGAAAATTTCGGTATCGTGTACTTACCTATTCTGTGTGGAAATATGTTGTTTTGTTTTAAAGAGAAGAAAATGTCTGAGAGAAAACAGCACAAGCATAGGTACTTACGTGGTACCTGTCTGTTGTCTAGAACAAATAAGATTGTTTCTATTCGTAAGCGAAAACGCGCCAACGTCGTCAAAATTGTCATAGAGATTAGGGATTTGACTTCAACCTTACGTGGTAGGGCCGTCGCTCATGTTCTAGAAATTCTAGAACATCTCGATCATCATCACCAAATCTAGGTCCTTCATCTCTTCAGAATTTCAAAATTTAAGCCAAAACCACAATATTCAAAAAAATTCAGACAAAAAATAACAGAAAATGTTGAGGTTAACCCAGGGTCAACTATGCTAACTTGCCGTGAGAGCGCGGGTTAACTTTTTCCTGGAATAACTTTCGAGTTAGCAGTTAACCCTGGATAGATAAACACTTGTCACAACTTTGACCCAGGGTTATCCCTAACTCATGGGGTTACCCTCTATTGATAAACCGGCCCTAAAATGTAACAAGATGGCTTATGACAATGGTTTCTGTTGTTAGAGGTAGATGGCGCCTTAGACAGTACTTTCACTTCTAAAGTTTCCTGTAATATTGCTTACCTACCTGAATTTTGGCGATGGCTGGGTCCAGTTCCCTCAGGAACTCAGATACACAACCTTGCCTTATTTTCTTTATCGACCCTTTTATGCACGGTACTTGGAATTTTCCGCCGAATTATCGATCGGCATTACCGGAAATTTCCAAACAAGAGAATTTTCTGGACAATTGGCGAGGGCTTGACACGTTGAAAGTAATTCCTATACTGTTGCTAACATAGTCAAGACAAATTTAAACGATTCAAGGTGTTAGATTTGTCGTGATAGTCTAGATATTCAATAAATCCATAGTTGATTCGGAGTTGATTTTCCTAAGAAACGAAACGTTCGGTCAAAAATGACAAATGACTCTACGTGGTGCCTTCTGGTTCGAGCTGTCCCGGGTCAGCCCTAATCGTCATTTTTAACACTGTAGGAGCTGTCTAGATAAGAACTAAGGCAAAGTGATTGATGGCCATTTGGTGAAAACAGATTAGGTTTACTTCTTGTGGCGTGCTCGGCAAAGATCGATAAGACTATATAAACATAAATAATTTTCACTCGTAAGATAAAGCAAATTGACTTTTCTGTATTATGGCAAACCTCTACTCGACATACTTGATGATATCCTCACATCTCATCGCCATAGTCAATAAATCTAAATAAAGCAGAATCACTCTTTGCATTACGGAGCCCGCAATATATGCTCCGTCGGCACAAGTGGCCCTAAATCATCTCTTCCTTTCGCGAAGTGAGGCCATAATTCATCTCGGCGAATGTAGCTGCAGTCTGTAAATGGCAAGAGGTTAGCGGGCTGAATGCAGATGAGACACCACCACCGTGTGGGTTGTCGGCTAGACAATCTTTATGGCTTGTCGAGTCCGGTCAGCGACAATAAAAATGGTCCTGTTGAGAATTTATGGGAATTAATAAAGCGCCACATATGGAAACTTTCATATAGAAGGGCTAATTTTAATTTTTTACTCGAAAACGTTTCAAATCTACATCAAAATTATCCATATATTTTGGACATGTCAAAGGCCTAAAAAAGCTCTCGAAAAGGGATTTAGCTTTATAATCGGCAAACACTTTTACAAGAGCATCGTAAATCGTCGAGAATTACGTTGACATATCGGAGATGTGTCGATGGATTATACAACGGATTAACTTTATTGGCAGGGGCGTTACATATAATGACTTTATTGTGCTCTATATTTGCTTGTTTGGCTAAGCTGTCGTAAATTTGTATTACCAGTCCAAAATATATTTGATAGCGGCATCGATCACAGGTAGTGTTGATACTTAATAATTCTTGGAAAATTCAAATTCCTTGCTAGGGATTTCTCGACATTATCAAATTCAAACAACCAATTTCCAAGAACTCTCGACTAACTAAAAACCAGCATGATTCGCAAGACGCTTATAAATTACACGGTTAAGCCCATATAACGGCTGTATGGCATGATATTGCTCCGTAGAATCCTTGGCGTAATAAAGCATAAATCTTCCAGATGGTTATAAAATAATGTTAACGATGTTATTAAGCGTTATTCCTTCATGTTCCTTAAATAAATCATGAACTTAGATTGCCGGAGAAGCCTCGAAAGGAACTATTAATTACTTCGAATAGAGAGAGAATTATGATCGTGTATAGATCGTTCTATGGTATTGACAGCAGTACCGTATAATTCGAATGGTTTATTAAGAAATACCGATGAGTAGTATGTTTATAGTTTAATTGCTCGTGCGGTTGTTTAATAAAAGCACATGGTCGTGTTTCTAATTATTTTTAATTAAACTGCTCTTTTGAAATTCTTCAACTCGAAGTTGTCTGTCAATAATGTCAATGTACAATTTTATTAGAAAGCTTGATTTGTTATAGCTATTTATGTACCAAGGGGATTATGTAGATTATAATGCCCGAAGGCGAAACTAGCCCGAGGGCCTATGGCCCGAGGGATATATTTCGCCTGAAGGGCATTATAATCTTGAAATCCCCGTGGTGCATACAATGCTTTATTTTCTACTCAACACAATCTTTTTTCATCAATTTGTTATTAACAAAATCAGTTAAACTTGTGTGACAGAATATTGTTTTGTATTTTGACATGTACCTGTACCTGTGACCTGTACCTGTACCTGCGACCTGTACATAGAAACGAAATACATTAATATATCTATAAACATCTCATAAGGCAAGGCAACGGTGGTGGTCCTGTGGGTTAACGCGCTGGACTACATGGGAAACATTGATGGTAGACCGGGTTCGAATCCTGGCTAGACCGAAAATTATTTTCGGTCAGACATTTAGTGGCTGCCTAGGGTAAAGTGCAAATTAATAGAACAACAACAACAAAAACACCTTTATTTTCTACTTTACTATTATAGATCCATAATACCTAGGAAACGAAATACGTTAACACACCTATAACAACCTGATCCATAACGCCCGCTTTTGCGGGCGTTATGATCTATAACGCCCGCTTATAATACCTTAAGGTGTTTTTGTTGTTGTTGTTCTATTAATTTGCACTTTGCCCTAGGCAGCCACTAAATGTCTGACCGAAAATAATTTTCGGTCTAGCCAGGATTCGAACCAGGTCTACCATCAATGTTTCCCATGTAGTCCAGCGCATTAACCCACAGGACCACCACCGTTGCCTTGCCTTATGAGATGTTTATAGATATATTAATGTATTTCGTTTCTATGTACAGGTCGCAGGTACAGGTACAGGTAACAGGTACAGGTACATGTCAAAATACAAAACAATATTCTGTCACACAAGTTTAACTGATTTTGTTAATAACAAATTGATGAAAAAACATTGTGTTGAGTAGAAAATAAAGCATTGTATGCACCACGGGGATTTCAAGATTATAATGCCCTTCAGGCGAAATATATCCCTCGGGCCATAGGCCCTCGGGCTAGTTTCGCCTTCGGGCATTATAATCTACATAATCCCCTTGGTACATAAATAGCTATAAGGTATTATAAGCGGGCGTTATAGATC